CCCCCCCCCCACCTGCCACAGCCCCAGTGACGACACCAGGCCAGTCAGGACTCAGGAGTTTATTGGGAATTGGGGGTCCCTGTCGCGACAGTGGGGGGGTCCCACACACTCCCTGCAGCAACACGGGGTCCCTGTCACGATACGGGAGCACTGTCACGACAGGGTGGTCCCGTCTCCACACTCATCCTCAGAGCGATCCAGGGTCCTGTTGTGATACGGAGCCTTTGCAGAACACAGGTTCCTATCGCGATAGAAGACCCTTGTCGTGATATGGGGGACCCCCTGTCCCAGTACCCCAGTGTGGGGCTCTGGGAAAATGAGGGACAGGGGCGTCCCTGTCACAATAGGGAGTCCCTGTCGTGATATGGGGGGGCTCTATTACCAACAGGGATTGTACCATGGACCCCCAAAGCCATGTGAACAGAGCAGGGGCGCTTCCCATCATGATAAAGGATCCTTATCGCAATGCAGGGGCTCCCGTCATGACATGAGATCCCTGTCGGGATATGGGGGGCTGGGTCACCCTTTTCCCTGGATAGTGAATTCCCCAAGTGAAGGAGGAGAAACGGGGGTCCCCATCACGATATGGGACTGCCTGTCACGATATCGGGGGGCTCTGTCGCGATAGGACCCCAGGCCAGCAGCAGCAGCACCGCAGGGAGTCGAACCCCGCCCCGGGGGGTCCCGGGGGTGCCACCACCGGCGCCTTTTGCTTTTTTTTTGGCCTTTTTGGGTCCGGAGGAGAAAAAGCAAAACCTGAGAAAACAGGGAAAAGTTTTCTCAGGAAAAGAAAAAACCTCCCGAAATGGGAAAAAAACAACAAAAAAACCTCCCCAAACCAGGTCCGGCCCCGCCCCACATAATTTGGGGCAAGATGTGGGGAATTTGGGGCCGGAGCACACCTGAAAACAGGCGGTTTGAGGGGTTTGGGGCCCAGCGCGCGCTCCCGGCGCAATTCAGGCGGAAAAACGGGGATTTTGGGTCAGAGTCACGGCCCAGACGCAAAACAGACTCAGAAATGGGGATTTGCGGTCACAGGCGCGTCCCGGTCGCAAAATAGAGCTGGAAAAGAGAAATCTGGGGCGCAAAATGGGCTCGAATCGGGGGATTTGGGGTTAATCCCGCGCCCCCGGCGCACGACGAGGTCAGAAATGGGAATTTGGGGTCAGACACGCGATCCGGGCGCAAAACGGGTCAGAAACGGGGATTTGGGGCCGATCGCGCGCCGCCAGCGCTAAATGAGCTCCAAAAGGGCCACTTTGGGTTAAACACGTGCCCCCGGCGCAGAATTAGCTCAGAATTGGGCGGTTGGGGTTAATCACGCGCCCCCCTCGCAGTTTGGGCCGAGAACGGGGGATTTTGGGGTCGGCGCGTCCCGGGGCCCCGCCGGTACTTACTCCGCTCGCTCACCTTTTCCTGCCTCTTATTTTGGGGGGAATTTCTAGTTTTTATGCTTTTTTGGAGCAAATTGTCCATTTTGGGGCGAATCGAGGCGGTTTTGGCACTGTCACTGTGGGGAGGGGAGAGAGACAACACCCAACCCCCCATCCCCCAAACCTGCTCCTCCATCCCTTTGCCTTGGGGGAAAATCTGGGGAAAATGGTTCAAAAGCTCCTCCCCCTCCCCAGGCACCACGGGAAGGTGCTGACTAAGCACTTTTTTGGGTGGAAAAAACCCTGCTTTTTGTTTAAATTCCCAGCTTGGGGTCGGGCCCTGCCAGCAGCGCATTCTGAGGCAATTTTAGCAATTTCGGGGTCTTTTCTTGGGGGCAAAGCAGCCAAACCCAAAGCTCCCCCTCCCATCCCTGGAATGGCCCATTTTGGGGTGAAAGCGGCACAAATACCAATTTCTGGCTCCCTACTGTTCCTGCAGACCCTGTTTTGGGGCTTTTTTGCCCCAGTCTGGCTCTCGGAGGCTCCTCTGGCGGGGGCAGGGCCGGCGGGGGCTGCAAAAAACACCCACGAGACCCCCCCCACACACACCCTGTCAGCACAATCTGTTTTGGGGGGAAAAGCGGCCGAATCGGTCAAACCGTCGCGGTTTTCCGCCGGTTTTGGGGGGATTTAGGGTCGGGAGGTGCCCGCATGCCACGTCTGGGGGGGTCCCCGCGCTCCCCCCGCCTCCCGACGCCCCAAACCGGCCGGAATCGCCCCAAATCTGCCGCCCTTCCCCCCTCCCCCCACGCGGGTCCCGAAAGGGGGGGGGGGGGGCTCAGGGTGGGGGGGGGGC